GTATAGAAATACCATATGTACTTACTTTATTATAGTTATCCAAGTCCTCTTCTATCATCCATGCCCCATAATGGGTCATGATTTTTAGAGACTAATTTACAATACTTAGAAGTTTCCTAGCGTACATTTTAAGGGGGATGGGATCATAAAATGGAAACTATTAAATAGGAAAAGTCTATTTGAAATTTGTATTCCTTTAAGATTAAAATAGAAATTTAGCTTTCTGACACTACTTATGGCCATCATAATATTAATCCAAACACTATCTTGAACTGGAATGTATCACTTTTTAAAATTCAGGAGTTAACTGGAATAACATTTGCTGAAATTTCGTAAATGTCTCCTATTTCTACTTTCAGCTTAGAGGTCTCTTCATTTTATGGTCTCTTAATATTGACTGTCATTTTTTTCCCACAAAATCTAATGTAGATTATCCCTAAGTTGTTTTTTGAAATTCATTTAGCAAATTTCAGTGTGCAGAGGAAAACATTAATTAACTATGTCAAAAATGTTTTCAAACTAAACAATTCCAGAATTCCAAGCACAAAAACAGAGGATTGAAGAAATAAGCATCAGAGTAGAGCATTAAACTCAAACCCGACCCATTGTATCAAGCCGATTCCAATTTACAGTGACCCCATAACACAGGGTAGAACTTCCCCACTGGGTTTCCATCTCTGTGGAAGCCGACTGCCATATCTTTCTATGTGGAACAGCTGGTGAATTCAAACCACCAACTATTCAGTTAGCAGCCAAATGCTTAACTACCGCATCACCAGGGTTCCTCAAGTAAAGCATTAGGCATCCTGTAACTAAAATCCCTTGAGATCAGAAATATAAAACCCTAAAGTTCATGCTCAAATAGCTGTAAATCTTACACCATTACTACCCCCCAGCCATTCCTCAGAAGGAAGGTTGGGCAATGTACTTCCGTAGTGATAATGCCTTGGAAACCCAAGGAGGGGTCGCTATGAGTTGGGTCTGACTCAACGACACATAACCACAACAACGACAACCACTATTTAGATTTCACAGTAAAGTGACATGCAAATTAAAGAACTTAAATTAATTTTTTTTTAATGATGTGATAGCTCCTCATCATTTTTTCTTTAGTTTTACTGGAGTTTGAGCTTAACTAAACAGGAAAGCATTTCAGAACATTTGACTTGTTTGCCATGTTTAAAACGAGGGGCCACTGAGTAGGTTGTGACTCATGGTGATTCCATGTGTATCAGCGTAGAACTATGCTTCTTAGGATTTTCAGGGGTAGAGCACTCAGTGTTTCTTCTGAGGAAATTCCAGGTGGATTTGAACCACCAACCTCTCAGTCAGCAGCTGAGCACATTAACCCTTCACCCCATCCAGAGACTCCACGTTGATCACGTTAGCTGTGAAGTATTTCTGATTTTTTTTTAATTTTAAAACTATGGCTAATTCATAATTTACACAGCATTTCTACTCTGAATTAAACTCTCTGAATAATGACATTAAAGATCTGAGAAGGCTTTTCTGGATGCAGTTATTAAAACTTGAGCCAGTGAAATTATTTTCAAATAAGGTCTCATTAAATGTTGAATTAGACCCAACTTTCAGTGACTGTAGGATATTTTGCAGCTTCTGAGAAGTTACCAGACGAGAGAAAATTAAAATGTACACAGAAAATGAAAAAGATATATATGTATATATATACTCTTAGTATGTTTTAGCAAAAAGATACTGTATAATATATGTATTTTATATATGTACATATAGGTATATTTATGTATAATGCATACATGTATGTATAACACATATACATATATATTTAATTTTTTAGAAGAACACTTTTTCTACCCGAGTTTTATTACCACACACTTGTAGAGAGAGAAGAATAAATAATACAAACTGTCTGTTAAGTCAGACAGGGATGGTAAATAGAAAAAGTCAACATCCTTTAATTTGCAAGTCTACCAGCCACTCCTCGGAAAGAAGGTTGGGCAATCCTACTTCCGTAGTGATACTGCCTCGGAAACCCAAGGAGGGGTCGCTATGAGTCGGGGCCGACTCGACGGCACATAACAACAACAACAAGTCTCAGCTTAGAACAGGGTCACTTTCCTTCTTCTTGTAAGTGATATTGTTACTGTATAGCTAGTATTCACATTTCAATTTTAGGAATTGGGGCTGACACAGGGAAGAAATGAGCTAGACAGAGTATTTGCTTTCTTGGATTGAATTCTTAGTTTTAAGAAAAATAAATATGAACATAGTTAATTGATTTTTTCTGTTGTTACTGTTTTTTAATTATATTCAGCAAATCCATAAGCTGCGGAGAGAGCTAGTTGCATCTCAAGAAAAAGTTGCTACACTTACATCTCAACTTTCTGCAAATGTAAGTCTTTTTTTTTTTTTTTTTTAATAGAGCAGATTTTTACATGATAAAATTGGGTAATTTTAGTAACAGATTTACAAGCTCTCAAAACAGACTTAAGTCACTGAATAGTGGTGTTCATATAAATTTAAATTTTTCTTTATACTTAATCTGATGAGGAATCACACTACAATTAAAATGTCTTCTTGTTTCTTGTAACATTGGAAACAGTATTAACAACCATCATGGCTGTGGCTGCTTTTCTTCTCTTTTTATCACTCTGCGTACTAAGTATTTCTCCAGCCACAATACAATAGGGGATTATGGTGTTTGACTTTGAAAGATAAAATATTTATATCCCTTGCATCCTCCAACTCAATTTAATGTGCAGTTAGTTAAGCATTCGATTAATTCAAAGTAACTAATTTTAAATTTGAATAGCTTAGCTATTCTCTCAAAACACATTTGCAGACTACTCATAGCAATTTAAAGGACATACTTTTACTGACTCCAAAAAGCACAAGATGGCAAAAAATGATGATAACTGAGACCATCAAATACATTAACATTTATTAAACATCTTTCCATGTGTCAAGTACTCGAAGTAGATGTAGAGTAACAAAGAAGAACATATGGCATTGTACATAGTCCTAAGGAACAATAATGTTAGAATCAACAGTGAGGGGCAGAGAAGATCCCGCTATTTTGCCATATCTCTTGCTGCCCTCATTACTTATTAATTGACTCACTTCCATAGGGAAGTTTAGGACTTGTTCCTGGCCTTACCATTCCTACCTCTCCACAATTCCATTGAGTTTTCCTGTCTCTTAAACAGATCATGACTTACTGTCATCCAGTGAGTGAGCAGGTGTAGGCCCACTCTGCATGATTTGAATAAGAAATATTTCAAAATGTAAAAGCTTGTGTTTTCTTTTGGCTTTTTATTGATGAATTTAAATTTCACGGGATATAGGTAAGTGACTTCACTTGCAGGGTGTTCATTTAAATACTGGATTTGAATTGATTTTACCTTTCTATCTCTGGGAAAACCAATTAATTTTGGACTGACTGTATTTTTTATAGATGTGGTTAGGGGATACTGTAAAATAATAGCAGGTTTTGGAGAACTGCTTAGATAATACTGGAAGATAACAGTATAATTTAAGCTATATTTTGGTTCTAAGAAAAACTCTTCCATAGATAGTTCAGAGACAACTATAAATTTTATAATATAGACTAGAAGTGTAGTAGTATAAAACACTATTTTCTAAGATCCTCAATTTATACTCAGAGAGAATGTTGTTGTTGTTGTTGTTTGCTGTCTAGTCGGACCCAACTCATAGCGACCCCTCCTTGGGTTTCCGAGGCAGTATCACTATGGAAGTAGATTGCCCCATCTTCCTTCTGAGGAGTGGCTGGTGGATAGAACAATGTAAATGCCAAAAGCACACAGGGTTGTGCTTATCTGTAATGAAAGAGGCTTAATGACAGAGGCAATGTATTGTCAAGCCTGTTTCCATCTGAGACTCCAATTCCCAATCATGGTTATTGATTTCTGGTGTATCTTTTCAACATTTTCCCTACCATATGCCCATGTGTATATGTATACAATACACACTTGCAGAGAGTTGTCCGTACATATATACAGACACAGAGAGAAGAGACCAGATTCTAACACAGAAAAAAAGTCCTGGGAGTCAGCTTTGCATCATTGGTTGAAAGGGGAACAAACTCTTTATTTAACAACAACAAAAAATTCAAACCCAGCCATTTGCCACTTACTATTACTGCTGCTCACATCACGCAGGTCATGCTCTTTTCACTGATGTGCTTCTCACAATTAGGCAGCCTTCGTTCTCACTAGGTGTTGATATGACTACCAAAGGACTGAAAATTGGTTCTGAGGTGGTGAAAACATCATACTTTTTTATTTATAAAGCACAAATTTACATGTAGTTCAAACAGATATGCAGTATATCTATGGTATTAAAATGTCATTGAGGAAGGGAACAATTAGGAAAATATTGTCTAAAAAGTCTCTGCAGGGGACAATAATGAAAAAAAAAAATGTAAGACAAGATTGGAGGAAGCAGTTTCAAGTGCATTACACCTACTCCTCACTTATTGACATGGTTAGGTTCCAAAGGCCAGGTTGTTATGCAGTAATCAATGTTATATGAAAATGGAGCATGGCCACATCAGATCACAAAATGGAGGATCATTATCAGTACATAACTGCCAAATTGCATCATTACATAACTGTAAAACAACTGAGAATCACGGCCCAGTCAAGTTGACACATAACCTTTACCATCACAGCCAGCATTACTGTCGCCTTGCAAGTCAGCATTCATTGCTGCCAGATGTATGTTTCTGAAGTGCAAAAGTCAGAGTTGTTACTGTTGTAAATGTGACATATCGGATAATGAGATAGTTGACCAAATGTCCCCAGTTTCTCCTGGCTGAATCTATCTTATCATTAGTAGTACTTTTGCACAAAGATGAGAGTATAATATTTTACAGATCTTTTTTTCTTTTACTTTGGAATGTATTTTAGAAATCTCAAATACCGGAGATCCGTAAAAAATGCCTGTACATTCCTAGTAGCTCCTTTTTTTTTTTTTTCCTAATCATTTGAGGACAAAATTTTCTCTCATGAATTGATAGATTTCTTTTTTTATATATCATTTTTTATTGTGGTAAAATGTATATAAAATAAAATTACTACTGTAACCATTTTCAAGTGTAAAATTCAATGGAATTAATTATTCACAATGTTATGCAACCACCATCATCTGTTTCCAAAACTTTTTCATCACCCACAGCAGAAACCTGTTAAGTAGTAACTCCCCACTTCCCTCCTTCCAGACATTGATAACTTTTTTTTAAGAGCTTGTTTTACATTCAACACCACATGTACATTTAGTTTCACTCCCTATTTACCATGTCCAACCCAAACCCAGTCTCCTCCCCTCCCTACCCCGTAACCCTCTCCCTATGCCCCTCATACTTATGCACTCATGTTTGTCCTCCATTTCCTTAATCTGAATGTTGGTCCTCTGGTACCCCATGATCTACTGTTCTAAGGGATGTATCACCATAGAGTGTGGGTGTGTCATCCTGGGTTGAGTGGTCTGCATGTACATCTTGTTAACTATTGGGCTGAGAGCCTGCCCCTGGGAGTGAGTTTTATTCCAGGCACAGAATGTATTCCAGGGCCATAGTATTAGGGGTCTCATCAGATTTCATCTGACCAGTAATTCTGGTCATTATTGAGTTTTTGGATTTTGTTCCGTATTTTTCCTCCCACTCTATCCAGGATCTCCAGATTTGTTCTTTTCCTGAGTGGTTGGCATTGGTAGCCGGGCACCATCTAGTTCTTCTGGTCTTGAGGACATTGTGTCCTAGGGCTGATTGCTTCCAAGTGCCATTGTGTTTCTGCACTCTTCTTTGCTTCCATTGCTAGGAGACTGTTAGCTGCATCTTAGATGGCTGCTTGAAAGCTTTTAAGACCCCAGTCACTACTCACCAATGTAGGATGCAGAGCAAGGCTTTTCTCTGTCACTCTGGCTTGGCTATTCTATATATTTTATTTAAGTGGAATAATAAAATATGTGTCCTTTTGTGTCTACTTATTTCACTTAGTATAGTGTTTTCAAGGTTCATCCATGATGTAGCTTATATCAGAACTGCACTTCATTTTATGGCTGAAAACTTGATTGCCTTGTATGTATATATGACATTTAGTTTATCCTTTCATCTGTTGCTTGGAAGGAAGGTTAGGCAATCTGCTTCCATAGAGATACCACCTCAGAAACCTAAGGAGGGGTTGCTATGAGTCGGCTCCAACTCAACAGCAGTGGGCTTAGTTTGGTTTGGTTTTTTATCTGTTGAGGGACAGTTGGTTGATTTCCAGGCTTTGCCTATTATGAATAATGCTGCTGTGAACATTGACATACAAGTATCTGTTTGAGTCCCTGCTTTCAGTTCGTTTGGATAGAATCTAAGGGTGCAATTGCTGGGTCGTATTGTAATTCTATACTTAGCTGTTTAAGGAACTATCAGACTGTTTTTCATGGCGTTTGCACCATATTACATTCTCACCCAACAGTATACAATAGTTCCACATCTTTGCCAATAATTTTTTTTTCTATTTCTTTTTTTTTTTTAATTATAACTGTCTAGTAGGTATGAAGTGGTTTTGATTTGCATTTCATTAGTGCTAATTAAGGCAAATTATTGTGGTTTTGATTTGCATTTCTTTAATGACTGTTGTTGTTGTTGTTATTTGCCGTTGAGTCAGTCCCGACTCATAGCGACCCCTCCTTGGGGTTCTGAGGCAGTATCACTACGGAAGTAGGATTGCCCAACCTTCCTTCTGATCTTTAATGACTAATGGTGTTCAATTCATGTATTCAATTTCATGTGCTTATCAGCTATTTGCATATGATCTTTTGTAAAATATTTACTCAAGTCTGTTGCCTTTTTTTTTTTTTTTTATGAGATAGCATGTCTTGTTGTCAAGTTATAGTTTTTTCTATTTTCTGGAAATTAAATCCTTATCAGATGTTTGATTCCTGAATACTTTCTGCCATTCTGTAGGTTGTCCTTTTATTTTCTTCGTAATGTCCTTTTATGCACACAAGTTTTAATTTTGATGAAGTCTAATTTATTTTTTTTCTTTGGTTGATCATGCTTTTGGTGTCATACCTAAAAATATATTGCCAAGTACAAGGTTATGAAGATTTATCCTTATGTTTTCTTCCAAGAGTTTTCTAATTACAAGCTCTTATACTTAGGTGGTTGGTCCATTTTGAGTTAACGTTTGCATACTCTATAAGGTTGTTGTTGTTGTTATGTGCCATCAAGTCAGACCCGAGTCATAGCGACCCCTCCTTGGGTTGCCAAGGTAGTATCATTATGGAAGTAGATTGCCCGACCTTCCTTCTGAGGAGTGGCTGGTGGGTTTGGACCGCCAGCCTTCTGGTTAGCAGTCAAGTGCCTTAGGCACTATGCTACCA